AGATCAGTAAATGGATAAAACACTATTTTGGCTCATCACTCTTGGTTAATATAACACTGCACTAAATTTGATATGATAGATGAGAAGAGGGTTGTAATAATAATAATAGTAATAATAATAATAATAATAATAATAATAATAATAATAATAATAATAATAATAATAGTATTCACTATAACTGTGATGGTCCAACTCCCTAAGGTGATAAGCCATCATCAGTGATGGCTAACTACAACTCTAACCCTAGGCAATTAGAAAATTTTACTTTTGTTTTAATTAAATTGCCCAAAGTCTGGCCAATCAGGGGGCAAGGAAAATACTCATTTTGACTAACAAACACCAACAAGCATTAATTTTTCCCATAGATGTTTTAATTTTTAATTTTTCCAAACTACAAGTTTAAAATTGTAGCGTCACTCTTTGGCAACAGGCAAACTACATCTTCATAAAGTTTAAAACAAACTGAATTGATGAACATATTAGGAAGAAAGTGACCTAGCTGTGCATCCAGTTTCTCTGAAGAGATGGGTTACTATAGTGGGTGGGTTAGCACTTCTTTTAAAGGTATTTATAAATGGTTGATATTTGCTTGTTCGCCTTTGTGTATGGTATGTGATTTGAGCTTTGAAAAAATCATTTTAATATATTGGAGTCCAAATTGTTTAGATGCCATCCCCTGTTTATTGGTTACTTTTAGCGTTTACTTCATCCACAGTTTCAGGTGAAATATTTAAAGCGGCCAAAACCAAAATCCAAAACATTACAACTAAATCTACTGCGAAAAGGATCTGACAGTCAGTGGTTGGTGGTTAAGTGGTTTGTATGAGATAAATTCCTATGTGATTTAAATGAATTTTGACATACTTGAAATCACATTAGTCTAGATATGAACTGCTGCATGCTGAATATGAGTAATTTGTTAGAAAGAGGCACCTTATCTTTATTACTTCGCTTTATCTAAAATATATATCTATATAACTCGAGATAAATACAGCAAACGCAGATTGCTGAATTAAGTGTGCTACTCCTCACTATTTTCTAAAAGCTCCTCCCAGTGTGACTTGTTGAAAGTAAGACATGTGCTCAGTATTAAAGACGCATCAAATTCCAACCTTCAGGACAAGTGAAGAGCAGAAAAATAATCAATTTTCACCATCTACTGATGGAACCATCATGTTTCTACTTATCGCTAGTATTACTGAGTCTGTGAAATCAGTAGCTGGGGTTGATTAGCCAGTGTAGCTGTCTTCAGCCAGAAGCAGAGACAGCTTACATCTCTGTCGCTCACATTTACTGGATTTGAGCATAACTAAAGAATTTAGTCCCCAAATGGTCTTCCTATCTTAATTTATCTGCTAGTGTTTTAATTTCACAGAAATTAAACGTGTTGCAGATTTAAATAGAATGTGTTTTAAAATACCAGTTTGAGCATTTAATTTATAGTGATTGACAGAGTTTACTCAAATTAATATCATATCTATATCTATAGGTGACAGGGTTATTTGAAATGAAGGTCAAAGCATGTGATCACTGACATATATGACACCAGTTATTAAACTTTTATTCTCCATATAAGGGCTAATAGCTGAATTGCACATTGTTCTGTAGCAGTGTAGACTGTTACAAGCTTCAGCCTTAAACCATTTAGGCTTTCAGGCAGAAAAAGGATGACAGTCATAGCCATGTACTGAGAGCTTTACAAAATATTTGACAGTGACAGATTATTTTACAACGGACATTTATTTTTAAATGTTCAAAAATAACTTACAATCTGTAAATTTAGTTCAGAACTAGGATATGAATATTATTCTTTTTTACGTCTGCCTCTTTTTATGTTACGTGAAGAAAGAAAAGGCTAATAAGCAAAAAACTGTTAAAAAAACAAAAACAAAAAACCCCACATCAATACCTCATTGGTCCAATGAGCTGTTACACAGAGAGCTGATTGGATGAGCACCACAGATAGGCAGTGTCTGTGTACACACGTTACTGTTAGCAGTTCTCTCTTCTATAGATTTTACAGCTTCTGTTTCCTTCCCTCATTATCAGCTTCATTTGCTCTGCTCAAATAGGGTGAATTCGTATCGAGCTGAGCTATGTTTTTATACTTCTATACCAACACACATTCATCTATGTAGTATAATAAACATTGTTTAGTGTTGTTTAAAATATATTTGGTACAAACAGAAGTAGTAGTAGCACCGTACCAAACACTGAATAAACCTGGACATCTGAATGTAGCATGCACAAGCAGACGTGTGGGTGATCCATAATGCATCAGCACAGCCAAACATAACAATAGAGATGAATGATGACCTCTTTAAAACTTGACACATTCCAGGCTTTTTAAGCCATGAGCCTCATTTATATTTAACGAAGATAATTCATAACAAGTCTCACAGCATTTATGAACCGACATTTCAGACGTTTTGACATCAATAGTGAATATATATGGCTTTCAAGCACAAGGTTAATGCTGAGTCTGAGGCATGTGTATATTTGACAGATAAGTGGAACAACATAAAGCATGAAATGGTACTCAACATGTACAAAAACTACAAAAAGTGTGTTTTTGTGTGTGAATATCTGTCTTAAAAGTGTGTATGTGTTCTTTTATAGAAGTGCACAGCTTACTTTATAATCATCTTCCCTCTCTGTCTGTCACAAACATACACTCTAAGGGAAGATTTGTCTTGCCATTTATGTTGATCTGTTATCTCACTGAGCAGTGACTGTTCCAGTCTACTATTTCATCACGTTTTCTATTATTTGTGTCTGCATGTGTCTGTGTGACTATACTTACAGGCAGTGTACCACAGTCCTCCCGTCTCCTCCGTCATATTGTTCCTGCCACTTAGCCAATCTCCTGACCAACTGCAGGATGGAGCGCTTGGAGAGAGGTGTGTCCCTGTAGGCTGGCCAGCCAATAAACTGGAAGTGCTGCACCAGGCGGTAACCATCTTGTGGCTAAGAAGAGAAACGTGAAGATTAGGGTTTTGATCACTGCTGACATAGCTGTTATCACAACAATCAACATCATGCTGTAATTCCATGGAACCATTTCAATTTCATGCACAGCGATATTGCTAAAGCTACCGTTTTTCAGAATTAAGACCAAAGTTGGCCAATGAAACCCATTGGCTCACTTTAGAAAATATATCTGCATCTAACAGGTCTGTTTGTGCTTAAATGATATGGAAAGTTGGATGAAAAGCTGGTCAACTATAACAAATACAGAGTTGGTTTTTCAGTTGTGGTCTTATTTGGTAATATTATCCATCCATTCATTTTCTTAGCCACTTTTTTGGTTACAGACTATGAGGAGGCTAGAGCCTATCCCACTGGGCAAAGGGCAAAAAGCAGCATACCCTGCACAGGTTGCTAGTCATAATACCAATACAGAGAGATGGACACAAAACGAGTCGTTGGATCCAAACCCAGGACCTTATTCCAGTGAGACACTGCCATTCATGCCACCCAAGTAAGTATTTTGTTAAACTGATACATAAAACACATTTTGTATGTAATCAGGCTTTTGTGCTCCAATTAGTTCCTGGTTTTGAACAAATGTCTTTTCAAAAGAAATAGGCTTGGATTCAACAAAGACCTTAGCTTGTTATGTTTAATTCGATTTCATGGCAGACATGGCACATTTTCAGTCGTCTAGCCCAAGGCAAGTGGCATGCACCAAGTAAAATACCAAAATCCACCATCACTGTCAGACTGATTTACTGATGTTTGTCACAAATGCATATGCACATTGACATTTACACACAAACCAAACAAATTCAGCAGTATCATTTTTTATACCACTTTTCCTTCCTTGTCTTTTCAGTACACCTGCCATGTACTTTCTCCCCTTCCATCTCTCCTTTACTCTACGTCCATCTTTCTCTAAATTACCCAGTCTCTTATACCAATTAACACTAATCTAAAATATTTTCTGTACCCTGCATTTATGTGTCTTCATTCTACTTGTCTGTTCCCCCTATTTCTTTGTATTGTCATGTATTTCTTGCGAACATTTTCTCCCTTCCACTTTTTCACTGTTCTCTGCTCATTTGATGGCTAAGCGATTGGCGATAGAGACTCGGCTAGGCTGGAGCTGCACTCGCAGTGTGGGATGTGCTGTTATGGCAATGATATGAGCCATTTCACACTAGACCGCTGATGTGTTTGAGAGAAAGAGAGAGAGAATATAGATAGCAGGGTAGCGGGGAGTTCTCCAAGTGCTATACATAGGAACATGCAGATGATAAGGCACCACTAGAGTTGAGCGGTCATGGATGAGTTAGAAAATGAGATGAAAAGAGGGTAACAAGAAGAGGCAGGAAGATAGGAAGGAAAAGAAAAGGAGAAATAGAAGTGAAAAGGGAACAGAGGTGCATAGAGGTTGGAGAAGACAAGAAAAGGAAGAGGAGGATAAAAGGGTAGAGTTAAAAAGAAAACAACTGTCATTATTGTACCACATTCAACATCACTATCATTTTTTCTATGTAGTCACCAAACCAGGACTCAGGTAGCCTTGCTGCATATCCTTTTGCCAACTGCCTACTGCGTAGTAAAGGTCGCATGCAATGAAAAAATGCCTTTGCTGTATTGTTATGGTGTGTTCCACGGTATACTGTTTCACTATCTATTGCTTTTGCTTGAACTTTAAACAGATTTTGTATTCCTAGTAAGTGTCAGGAAAGTAGTGCTTCATTTGTCAAATAATAGAGTCCCTTGAAATCCACAACACATATTTTATTAAGAAGAGGCCTTAAAACACAAAGGCGCTCCATGACTTTGAATTAAGCAATGCGCCACAAAATCTAGCCATGAACTCGTAATTTGAAAACTGTCAAGGAGGAGAAGAGAAGACAAAAAAAGAGAAATTATCAAAGTGTGTTCCAGGACACCGACTAAAGACAAACTGAAGCTGTTTAGATGTTCTACATGCAAAACATCTAATCTCATAAAATTTTTTATAACTTAACTATAAAATAAAAGAAGTACTGTATTAAATATGTAAACGTTTAGTACCCTAGCCATGTTGCAGATCCTGAAGATTCGGTTGATGATATCCTCGTCGATGTCTGCAGATATGAACTCCACTTGAATAGGGCCGTAGCAACATGAATTTTTTTCTGGCCAGTACTGCATACATAACTTTAGAAAACAAACACAAAGGTTGGAAGAAAAAGACAAAATGCAGAAAATAAGAATGGGTTGGAGAAAATGAAGTCCACCAGTTAGAACAAGTACATTCACATGACATTTCTTTCCAGTAAGTGGGACAGGTTTTACTTCTTGGCCAGATCCATGAGCTAAGAATCCTTGCTGTAGCCCATGTTACAAATCAGTTACAAATGGCAATAAATAGAAATAAATGGGAGAGACAAGTGATAGAGTAAATAAAAAAATCAACTCTGATACATTCATCAGGCTATCTGATAGTACAGTCAGTTTCAGGTGCTGATGTCTAGTGTATTTTTGTTAGTTAGACAAAAATAAGTACAGAACATGTTTGTAGATTTTTTTTGTGTGTGTACCTGTACCTGTGCTGCATCCATTTCATTGAGCATTACAATGGAGGAGCAGTTGTAGTCAAACACCAACCTCCAGAAGTCACCCATGGTGTTGGGCAAAGGATGCTGAGTAACTATGAAGGCCGCTGGCTGTTTGTGGCTCTAGAATGGTGAAACGAATAACAATCAAAAAGCACAATACAAAGTATGATAAGCTTACACATACATAATCAGACATTTAAACAAAAACTTACATCCATTAATGCAGCATTAATGTAATTGGAGCTCTCTCCATCCACAGAAATCAGAAAAGGAAGGCATCGGTCTGCTGGTAGAACATCCATACTGCGGTTCTTGTCGTGGTTTCTGGGTAGCAAACCCACACTGCAGTCCTCTGGACGAACTCTAGGGGTCACTATGTTTAGAGTCTGACGGGCAGAAAAGCAATGATTTGAACCTTCAATCTAACTTGAACCCACACATTCACATTATCAGCTAGGGTGTTGTTCAAATGCACGTGTGGCGAGTGTTCCCAAAAATGACAAAAGACAAATGGGTGTGAATGTGCGTGCTCACCTGGAACTCATCTTTGATCTGGCTGGAGTTGGTCTGTGGGTCCAACCTGCTGATGTTGTAGTAAATGGCTCTGAACTCACACACTGGTATGGCTGTGTTTCCACACAGACATGCTTCCAAGATGGCATCGTGAACAAACACATACTGCTCCTGCACCAAAGCAAAATGAGTTCTGGAGTCAAAATTTCTTTCACTGAAATACAAAACTGGCTTATGCAAGCAAACAGCACTGAACCTGCCTGTAGCCCTTGGACTGGACCACAGTGCCTCACAGTAGCTGTAAGCAATGACAGCTCTGGAATAGATGATGCAGTCGGGCAAAGCTGCATTAAGTCTTTTCAAGCTGACAACAAACTCAAACATTCCAATGTGAACACAACTTTTGTTTGCTTTGTGTATGAATATTATTTGCATGCTTGTGCTTTTGTGGGAGCCTGAAAGTGATTTAAAAGGGCACAGTGCTTTGCTAGTGGTGCCTCTGTGGTCTGGCTCAAGTATGTTCTTTGTCTTCCAAATCACTAGCTTGCGCTAAATGCATCAGCTACCATGAGCTACAGCAGCCACCGTGCATGCTAATTTACCTCTATCTCTCTTTCTGTCCCCCTATCGGTGCATTTTTATCTGGGGTTGGCTCCGTTTTTATTTCTCTGTTGCTCGTTTCCTCTCACACTTGTGTTTGTCTGCTGCCTCTCGCTTTTTCAATTTGCTTCTCGCTTTATCTCTCGGTCTCTCTCTGTTGAATGTTAATTGTTGCCCTTGGAGCAGAGAAGAGGCTTTAAAAGCATCACTGAAATGACCTCTCCTGGCCATTACCTATGCCAGTGACATGCACAGACACATTTGCGCGCAAAAACACATGTATACACACATGCACGTCACATACTCACTGAAACATTTACGCACACTCTTCTTTCCCCTGTGCCTTTTAAAAGATTAATTGCTTTGTGTTGTGTGGAGCAGGATTATAATAGCATCAAGCAGCTTCAACACTGACACAAATTGCTCCCACACATATTCAAAAGACAGGGCAGGATGCATTTAACTTGGTATCAAGAGGCATAAAAACACACGTGAATGTGCACAGACAGACACACATACACAAAACTAGCTTTTATACCACTGCTGTCATTTGAAAACACTCAACGTGATGCCCTAGGTAACTTTTCTGAACCTGGCACTTCTAAAACCCATTCAAAAGTCAATTTCATACTCTGAGCTTGAGCTGTCAGTCTGAAAATGAGGCTGTTTTTCTTTATTCCTGGAAAAGTTGACTTTTTGGATATGCAAGGTTTTCATCAGTAACACAAATGGAATGCAGAGGCGGAACGGATTAGGTCGGCTTAAGGTAGCTTTAGAAAAGAAATGAACGCTGCTGTTCCAAAATGGAATACCCAACATTTGAAAATGCAGACTCTTTAAAACGTTTGATAGTACTAAATTAGAACAAATTACGACACCATGTAAAGGATAGTAACCCAAGTACCCAGCTAGCAAAGACAGAACGTTTTAGGAAACATCATCCGTATTTTGGGAATACTGAACAGTGCTGATTTATGCTTGGCCACTTCAAATCTTAACTTGTTGTATAGTTGTGACTACCCTAGTACCAGACAATATACCAAATCTCTCCCGTGTCATCTGTTATAGAAATAATAAATTAATACAATCCATTTGACTGGGGTGTCACATCTCATCTCTGATATTCCTTACCAGCTATTGCATACACATATTGACACAAAACTCTCCTAAAATTGTCTATGTCTGAATTTGTGTTTGTTTGGGTGCATACCATATCTGTGTGAGTTTTTGTACTAGTTTTCATCTGATATTCAGGCAATGTTTAATGTTTAATGTTCAATATATAATAATCTAACTGCATTAAATCATAGATGACTGCTAGAAGTCCTGGGATACTCCATACTGTCTTACTTTTTGCGATGCTACATCTCAAACTTACAACTGCAGGCAAAATGACGTATGGTACTGAAAGGGAATAAACGTTAATGTTGTTTTTTCTTCAGTGCAATGTATCTAGATGCTTTGTTAATGTATCCAGTATGTGCTCATCAAAATTTGATGGAAAGCCTCTGTAGAACTCAAGTCAGTAATAATTACAATACGTGCTGGTGATTTATTTTAACATGAACCAAAAATCTCCACACTTTATTTGAAAAATTAAAAATCCATAATGCATAACTTTTCATGATTGTCTAAGCCAGCAGCCTGCCGTACCTGAACACCCACTTGTTTTGACCAACTAGACTCAAAATCATCTGTGTTTAGATATTATTTTGCCAAGCCCCAAAAGGTTGATTCTGTTCATGTGGACGTAGCATCTTCAATGTTTCGTCACTCATCCAAGTGACTTCTTCAGTCTCAGCTGACTGCAGGTTTCCCCAATCTTATAAACAGTACATTTGCACAATAACTGAAACCAGCGCACTGAATGAACAATGGGCTGTGAGGTCAGTTGCTTGATCATTAATATGCAAATTGTCATGGTCATTGATATTTTGCCTATGATTTATATCTATTTTCCATAATTACACTTACCTCTGTCTGAACCATGTTGACTCGTTGTGACCTTAGTTCTCGGATGCAGTTGAAAATGTCCACCACACCTTCATTCTCCGCCATGTCTAACATGATGTCCACTGCAATGAAACAGCCTGTTCTCCCTGCACCGGCACTGGAGACAATCATAAACAAACACGATACTCTCAATCTAACAAAATTGTAATAATGAACAACTTAATTGTTTTATTCTTAACCTTTATTTATACAGATAGTCCCACTGAGACACAATGTCTCATTTACAACAGAGACCTGTTCATATCCTTCAGTAAGACCAATCACTTTTAAGCCTTCAACACTGACATTTTGGGTAATGCAACTAACATACAGACTTATTTCTAATAATTTGTAGTGTTTTTCTTTTTCTTTTGTTTTTTTTTTAACGATGCAGTCAGATCTCTGGGCAGCCATATTGCATAGGTATTTGTAGGAGCTTCCCTTTAACGGCACAAAAATTGGTGATGGGCTGTTACACACAGATTTATGCAGTGGAAAAGATGAATCCCGCACTCTGTCTGAGCTGTCTGGAGTCATCCAGAGAACGGCTTCCCAGTTTTACTGAGCACTTTTGCCCTTGTATCAGAGAATATCATTTTGTCTTCCTGCTTCTCTCCCTGGTCTGAATATCTCTTTTGTTTTGGCAGCGAAATGTATGCTAAAACGTAAGGTTTTTCTATACTGTTAAAGTTATAAAGTGTTTCTGTGCTGTACGTTTGTGAAGTTAGCAGTCTCCCATCCCAGGCATCTCATTAGGATTAGTCTTGATAGGTTGCTTTGATCATTTTTTTTTTTAAAGAAATGAGTGCATCTGTGTTTATAAATTGCTGCACTGATGTTAATTCACCTGCACAACTTTCCGCTCCGCGTCAAAGTTCTTTTTTTTATTTTATTGCAGCATTATGCT